GATATGATTCTTTACATTGAAGATGCTATAACATGAATTTCATAATAGTATAATATAATATACTGATGGAATGTGAGAGAAAGAGCAGAGTCAAAGGGAGCTGCAAGGTCTTTGCCCTGAGAAACCAGAAGCACGGGGCTGCCCTTTGTTGAGTTGGAGGAGTCAGGGAGGAGCTGGTCTGCAGCCGATCGGGAGTTAGGTTTTGGACACGCTCAGTTTGCTATGTCTAGGAGATAACCAAGTGCAGATAGCAAAAAGGCAGTTGGCTCTGTGAGCTGAGAACTCAGGGGTGGAGATAGGAATTTGAGAATCATCAGCACTTGGACGGTCTTTATGGCTAGGGGATTACAATAGATCAGAATTCAGATGCCAGGGAAATACTTTTTTTTTTTTTAAACATCTAATTGTGGCCGTGTTTTCAGCAAGGGAAGGACAGCCTGAAAGAAATGCTTTTCAGTGCGGGAACAACTTTCTTAAATTCTGTTCAGTTTCTTTGTGCAATTGTGTGTTTTGATTCTGAATAAAAGGGGAAAAAGTTTTCACTGTAAAGGAAGGGAGATTAGCATGGAATTGCTTCAAAATCAGATTCAAACTGTGATCCCCACTTGAGGTGTTTCAGAGAGGAGAACAGCCCAGGAGAACAGAGCATTGCGCTAGAAGGTCCTTCTGTGCAGTCATGAAAAGGGAAAATGGTGCTTAGAGCTACCAGGGTTCTGGAAATAGGCTTTTTTTTTTTTTCTTTTTTAAACAGTGAAGAGTTGAGAAGAAGCTTTTAACATTTTAAATATCCCTTAACCATGGATAGTTATTTCTGTGAACTGATTTACATATAATTAGAATACCTACAGATTTTAAGGGGGAAATACATCCTATTCTGAGCTATAGAAATACAGTGTTGGAGGCTTTTCAGGGAATAGAGAACAATAAAATAGAAGGAAAATATCAGAGTTCAGTTTCTTTTATAATTCAGTATTTTCAAGGCTTCCAAATACATTTTTTAAAAGTAGTTTTGGGGATGCAGTTCTATATTTTCCATCAATTTTCTAAT